GGGGATATGCAGTCCATGGGCCCCTGCTAGATAGGCCCACGAATAGCTTTATAGAGTCGCTCAGCCGGTTCTGAGGGCGGTCTGAGGGCCCCGTAGGTCGGTTGAGGGTCCTTCAGACTGTCAAAGACCCCTACAGCCCTTTAGAGTCTCGTAAGCCGTCTGAGGGTCATGTAAACCGTCTAGGGACATTCAGACCGAAAAGGCCCCCTTGCACTTGCAGAGGGCCCTGTCAGATCGACGAGGGGCCCTCTCAGACAAACTAAGGACCCGTTCAGGTCATTTGAGGGCCTCCTCAAGCCGAAAGGGGCCCCTCAGATCGACAGCGGATCCGACCTGAAATCCATCAAACCGACATAGGGTCAGACCAACAGTCGGAAACCAACAGATCAACAGAGGGCCCTTCGGGTGAACAGAGGATTCTCAGGTCGACCGAGGGACCCATAGACCGGCAGGGGCCCCTCAGAACAGCGGAGGGCCTCTCCCAGGTCGAGAGAGGACCCTTGAGACTGGCAGAGGCCCCTCATGTCGATAGAGGACCTCCTCAGGTTGACAGAGGCCCCCTCGGACGAACAACGGACCCCTCAGGCCGATCGGGAGCCCCTCATACTGACGGAAGGCCCTCTCGGTTCAAAAAGGGCCCCTCATGCAAATCGCGATTCTTGTAGACTAATAGAGAGTCCTTCAGGTGTTCTACAATAAAATATGCACATTATTTACGCACTGATTTTCTTTACACACCGTTGGACCCATCCCATCCACCTGGGCCCCCTGGTTTCAATAGGGCCGCAAATTGAGGCTCCCTTGGCTAAAGTATGGCTACTCAGCTATGTCAAAAGATCTGTCGCAGGGGCCTTTGCGTAACCAAGGGCCCACTGTGTCAGCCAGGGGCCCCTATGTAATAGGGGCCCCTTGGCTTCCAGGAGGGGCCACAGTCCCTTTGGCCCCCTCCTTGGCTATGCCACTGCAGGTGACAAGCGTTCTTTCAGGCGGCCAGGGACCCCAGGCGACCAGGGACCCCCAGGCGACCAGGGCTCCCCAGGTGACCAGGGGCCCTAGGCGACCAGGGGCTCCCAGTCGACCAGCCCCCCCTCCCGGCGACCAGGGGCCCCAGGAAACCGGGGGCCCTCGGAGATGACTGCAGGGGCCCATTGGGTCATCAGGGGCGCCTCAGGTAACCAGGGACACATAAATGAAACTTTGATATCAATTTTCTTCCGAGTAAAAGGCGTTTTATCCAGTATTTGAAAAAACAAATATCCCGGGTCCTGAGTGGCCCCCCATCGCGCCTTCGGCACTCAAGGCGGGGGGGGGGGGCATTGCCCCCGTGACCCCCCTTGGCTACGCCTCTGGGCTCAGGAGGATGCTATCAATGCCTAGCAAGAATGACAAAATGTATAGTCGACTACAGAACGATGTTCCACGCCTCACGGAAGCTATCAGTTGACCGGAGCGCTAAGTTGTGCCGTTTATCACGCTATTAAGCGTGTTGATTGTGACCATTGGGAAAAAGCTATAATTTGTGAACTCAGCCCGTGTGATGCGGCACAGCCTACCACTCCAGGCAAATAATTGCCTGTGAAAAGTGGAACATCATTCTGTAGTCGACTATCGACTATACACTCGTTTTTGCCCTAACATGGTCACGCGACCGAACGGACAAAAGGGCGCTGAAGGTGAGGAGGGCGCTAGACGGTCAGGAGATTGGGAGTGGATGTCGGGCATTGCGTGTGCAAATTTCAGGATTGTGGGTGCATCTTCACAAACAAAGAGATATAAAATTGCACACCTGGGCGTCAATGCCGCATGGTGTATCGCAATGGAGCTAGCTTATCGTCGAGGGCGCCTAGAGTGCTGGAAAGGCGCCTTCGGCGCCCCGAAATGATCTTGGAAAGCACCATCCAGGGCGCCTTCGGGTGCGAATGCTAATGGTGGACTCAGCGGCACAGCCTACCACTCCAGGCAAATAATTGCCTGTGAAAAGTGGAACATCATTCTGTACAATCTGTAGTCGACTATCGACTAAACAGTATACACCATCGACTATACCTTCGGCGCCCTGGATCGTGCGAATGCTAATGGTGGACTCAGCGGCACAGCCTACCACTCCAGGCAAATAATTGCCTGTGAAAAGTGGAACATCATTCTGTAGTCGACTATCGACTATACACCAGCGAACGCTGGTGCGAATGCTGGATGGTGGAAGACGCCATTCAGGGCGCCTTCGGCGCCCTGAATGGAGCCCAGAGGACGCCTGCTAGATGGGGGGGGGCGAAAGCCCAGTGTGCCCCCCCTTGGCTGCGCCCCTGAGTGCAACCCCAACCAAAATGAAAAAGTTACATCCTTGAAGTATTGCAGCGGCACGTTCCGTTCCCCTGCAATACAAACGGATAAGCTAGCATTCCTTATTGCCTTACTTATTCCAATGAAAGTGCCCAGGGTCTCCGCCATCGGTGGGGTCGCAGGGTCCGGACCCCTAGGCCAGTGCTGGAAATGAGGCCGCTTTCTGGTCCCGGCGTTTTATTCTCCTCGCGGGTTAATCCCGTCCAGCGTTTAGCCTTTCGGGACCCACTCAGGGTCGCGGTTGTTTTCGCCGCTCGCCCCGTCGAGATGCAAAGTTCATAGTCACACGAAGCTTATTTAGAGCCAGGCAAACCAGTCTAGTCTGGAGTTACTGTTAAATGTATGCATATAGATGAAAGAAAAATGTTTTGTAGAATCGATTAGTTTCGAAGTCTGATATTCAGAGGTCCCAAATAAACTTCGTGCGACTATCAACTTTGCATCTCGAATGGGCCGAGCGGCGAAAACAACCGCGGCTCTGAGAGGGTCCCGAAAGGCTAAGCGCTAGACGGGGCTAACTCACCCGGAGAATAAAACGCCGGGACCAGAAAGCGGCCTCATTTCCAGCACTGAGGCCCTGTTTCACCGGTGATAGCATGCTGCTATCACACGTGTCAAATTGGGTTTCCATGGTAACATCAACAAACCATGACATCGTCAATCTGCGTGATGTCATCGAATATTGCTGCTAACATCTTCACGGCCGTGCGATCAAACAAATGTAGCCAACGCAATCAACGAGACAGCAGCTCTGTTCCAAACGCAGCTATGAAAAAGCTCACAAATTACACGAAACGTCATTAGTGTGACGTCATCACATTACGCCACCTCGCGCAATTTGATAGCAGCGTGCTGCTATCACCAGTGAAACAGGGCCCTAATAAGTTGACTTTCGTAATGCAGCCTAATTTATAAAGGCGTGCGTTTCAGGGTTGGACATCCCCCAAACCTGCGACCATAGAAATGTCCCTGAAAGTGACCAGCACACACTGCACAGCTGTAACACCAACTAAGTCAACATATCCGTCCATGATCACTCCCCCTCATGCCTGCTATGGCAACGCGGAACAGCAGAGCGTGCATGTTTTGCCAGGAACATTTCTTTTAAGTGTTGTGCTCTTTATAGCCCTGAACTTCAGTTTTTGAAACTCAAACTGCTGCAGACCGCTGCTCCAGAACGGTTCTTTGGGAGCTGGTTGGATGCCACATTTTGAGTGGGGAGACATCACTGCGGACTTTGAAACTCCCAAGTGGCTTAATTAAACGGAGTGCGTGGATTTATTAAGCGGATTTATTAACTAGGTATGGGTATCTATGGAGAAAATCTGTGAACAGCTCAAGCGCCCACAATAATCGGTTGGATTTATTATCCGAGGATTTATTTAACGGATTCTACTGTATAAGGCAGTTAACAATTGTCATAAATAAGGGGATGGTGCTGTTTATGAACCCTGGGCGTTTTACACAGTTCTCCCCTATTTTCTATTAGAAAAAAAAAACATGTTAACTTTTTATCACGTCCACATGTTATCATCACCTTGTTCGTCAACTTTGGGTTTTCTGATCGCAAAGTCGGAGAACAGGAACATAAACTATTAAACTAGGATGCTGGCTGTTGAGTGGTCGCATCCTGCACATACAAAATTGCACCAATCAATTGCTTTTAAGGTAGCAATGCACGCAGCATCTCCATTGATGGAACAGACCGTTTCTATTTTAGGAAATGGCTTGTCCATTTTTGGAACATGGTTCCAATCCAAACATGGAAACGCTTCCATAAATGGATCGGACATGCCACAGTGTGCCGACTGAAATGGGAGCACTGAATATGTTAAGGCCTGGCTACACTATGCGTTTTCTGCGTGCGTTTTAGCGAGATTGCGTTATTTGCGGAATGTCGTTCGGTATTAGTATATATTAGGTCCGAGTGGACAATTGTAAAGCTGTTGATACAAATATGCAACAGCAAAAAAATTAGGTTTTAGGTTAGGTTAGGTTGTAGGTTTGTAGGTTTTAGGTTTTAGGTTGGTAAGTTTGTAGGTTAGGTTAGGTTAGGTTGTAGGTTTGTAGGTTGTAGGTTGGTAGGTTGTAGGTAAATAGGTAGGTAAGGTTAGGTCAGGTTTGATTGTTTTTTCTTTTATTTCCAAGACATATAGGTAAGTATCATTTTTGGATTCAGGGTGTCAAATAATGTAAGAATATGAAAACTTTATCGTTTAACAGTCACTCGGACTCAATGTATACTTTTACCTATCGTTCTAGAAAGAAACAACATTATGTTTTTGTTATGTTTTTCATATAAACTTTTAATTGACATTAACATTTTATAAGTTTTTATATAAATATTAAATAATATTAATTAATAGTAACCTTTTTTCTAGAACAATATTACGCAAAACCCGCAAACACGCAAAAAAGCACGCAGAAAACAGTGTAGCCAGGCAATTACACTCATAACACCTTGTCCCGATAAAAATCTACTTTTTTCCTATTTTAATGAGTGTAAATGGCGAAACCCTGGTAGAATGGGGACGCGAAATGATCGAATCTTCATAAAAATTATTAATAAGTCACACAGAGCGACCAATGTAGGTAGGTAAAAGAAATCCCTAAAAACGATCGCGCCTAAAAAAGACGAAGGCAAAAACGACGCTCTTTACCTGCTCATGACGCTCCTTAAAACAACGCTTTACAGCTAGCATCAAAATAAACTATGGCTTTCAGGACTGATAACAATATGGTTGAATACCTTTCAACCACTTAAATAGAGTTTACAACAGTGGTTCGGTAAATTCACTCACGTTCCACGCAAGTTCCACGTAGTAAAGGCCCTGGTAGTAAAGTGATCTCGCGTTCCACGAGGCCGCCTGTCCCAAGGTCATCGTCTGTCCAGAGGCCCTAAAACTCGACCCCCACCAAACACGATTTGGCAGCACTGTAAAGACGTCTGCTGGGCGTGAAGTTTTCCCTTCACCATAGGGTTTACACACAAACTGGTCAAAGTTTGAGCCAGGATATACTAGTCTAAAAATGCAAAAAACGAACAAATTTTGGCATCAATAGATTCAGCATTTCATCGTGTGCCTCAAACCGTCCATCATTTGGCCTCAAAGGAGGTAAAAATTGTTCAAAATCGAAGTTGAAAAGATGCTTTCTGAGCACATAATCTGGTAGCAATCACGTGACCTGCTATACGCAGCTTATCGATAATTTACAAACATAATTATTAATATGCTGCTTTAAACAACATTAATCATTCATTTTGAGCTTTCAGTACTTTAAATAAGGTCAAAACATCGCAAAACACAAAAGTTAATACAATAGTCACGTGGGTGTCAGGAAATGTCACAGGTGCGTCAAATTTGTGACTGGGGCTTTACTTTCAAACATCGGATCTACCTATTTCTTATAGGTACCGTAAACCGGGGTGACTTTGTATCACTTTTGGCCATTTTGGTACAATATTTCCTATATTACCTGATTTTTCACTCTGGAAACTGTTTGATCATACCAATTGGACAATTTTCTATCTAACTGAGTACAATAAATGTCTTGAAACTTATCACAAATATTTTATTTTTTTACCCAAAAAATGATCATTCTCACCCAGGGGTTGGGGTTACTTTGATCACTACACAAAAATCGCCTTATATGAGTCATAGTTGCCCTCAAAAAGGGCTTGTATTATCAAAATACATGTTTAAACAAAAATCAACACATTTAATTGACACACACATAATTTGACAAAAACACACATTTCACAGCCAAGTGAAAGAACATTGAAACACTGAGGCGGTAACACCAAAATACGCACTGGGCAAGAACTTGCGCACCTCAGCGCACTACCAGCCCGCAGCAGCTGGGTAACCTGCTTTCACCTCTGGTTTGAGGCTTCAGGAACAGTTACAGAAGTCCTCCACCACAGCCTCCTTGTCCTTCATGACTCTCTTGATGCAGTGGCTGTGATACCATTTGCCACATTTTTCACAGCCCTCCCAGTCAATCTGCCTCTGTCTTTGTCCAGGGATGTTCCAGCTGAAACAGATCGAGCAGCTCTCCTCATCTTCAGCATCTGTGTCTGTTTTTTCATTCTCTTCATCTGGGTTGTCCTCACATTCACTGGTGTCATCACAGGAAAGGACAGTGAAGGCACGCTTAGGTGCTGTCTTGGGCTTGGGTGTTTGCTGCTGTTTGACCTCAGATGTAGATGGTGTTGACAGGTCTGATGCCACCACAGCAGCTCCTGGCTGGACCTTGGGCCCTCTCTTTTTCTGGGTCTTTTCTGCTGTTCCAGGCAGGATGTGCTCCTGTAGCAGGCTTGTGACTGACTCACTCAGTAACGACCTGCTATCCTGGTCATCACTAGTACCAGGTAGATGCTTGAGCACCTGAGCTGGATCCAGAGGCAGGATGCCACATCCCTTGAACCCTGCCTTGAGGTTGGCACCTGGCATCTTTGAGCACAGCTTCTTCAGTAGGCCTGGGAAGCTTGTCTTTGGGATGCTCTGTCTTGACCTGGCCTCCTTTCTCCAGTTCTCCAGTATCCTGCGCCAGACCCTCTTGGCAGGGCCAAAGACCCCGACGTCCAGCGGCTGGAGAAGGTGTGTGGCATTGGGCACCAGACTGACAAACTCAATCTTGTTTTCCTTGCATGCCTCCAGCACTGGGATACTAAAATGGGAGGCCAGGTTGTCTCCCAGCAGAACCTTTTTGCCAGGCCGGTCCTTCACGTGTGGGAGGAAGAGGTCAAAGAACCAGCGCTCAAAGAGAAAGTTGTCGAACCAGCCACTTGGTGAGCGGTGGTAGAGGGCACCCGTAGGTCCACCTTGCATCCACTCTTGGTAGATGTGCTTCGCTTTGTACACCACCATGGGTGGTAGGTATTTGCCATCAGCACTGCCACAGAACATAATGCTTGTCGCTTGTTTTGAATGGCTCATTCTCCTCTCAACACGCCTCATGCCTCTGCGAGTGATGCAACGTTTTGCGCCTGGGTCATCTGTGACATTTGTCTCGTCATAGTTGAACAGGTTTTGAGGCTCAACACCTTCAAGAACCTGGGCTAACCTGCTGAAAAACCCTTGGATCTCAGCAGCAGTGACACCAGCTCTGCTTGGCTTGACATTTTCAGCAGCTCTGGCAGTGAGGTTGTTCCTCCTCATGAAAAGTTTCATCCAGTCCGGTCCAGGCATGTTGTTTTTGAACCTGGTTAACTTGCCTTGGCGGTCTAGGTAGTTCTTCACTAAGAGCCTGATGTCAATCTCACTGAGTGGCACTTTCCACTCTGCCAGCTGGTTGATGATGAGAGTGATGTCAGCTTCTTCCTGTGAAGTAAGGACTGGCTGGCCCCCAGGCTTACGCTCTGGCATGTAAGTAAATTTAGCTTTTTTCCACAGAGTCCCAAACGGAATGTTGTACAGCTTACATGCAGCACGAATGGTCTTTCTGCCACTTCGGACATCATCAATAGCACTCCTCAGTGCCACTGGACTGTATGCGGTAAGGTAGTTTCTGGAGCCTGGCTTTCTTTTGTATGCGCGCACCATCGTGCATGAGCCTGTTGACCAAGGCAGCTAAGCAGAAACCAAGGCAGGATAGGGCTTTAATATGAAACCTGGAATGAAAGAGCAGTGTTAGGAATTAAGCAGGATGGCCTGTTGTTGATTGGTAGCAGGATAAATAATTCCTTGTGGGCACCAATAATCCTCCACCTGATGCAGATTGCTTTTTATGAATGATGTACCAATTTCGGCATAAGTAATGTCAAAGACAGAAAAAATGCTTTTAACATGAACATGACTGCCTAAACAAGGAGCACAGGGTCTGATGCAACACTTCAGGTAACGATTGCCAAAAATAACACGGCAAACAACAGTGCAGTGCTGAAGTATGTCCCAAACGGCTTTATGATCATAGTCACCCTGACCTGTTCATAGTCACCCCGGGTATCATTGTCACCCCGGTTTACGGTATCTTGCTAAAACTTACCCCGCGTTCGATGTCTCCCGGACGGCGAAGATTCTACGCCGTCCGGCCAATCACATTCCACAACCACAGCCGAGCCCCCGCTGACCTTGGACGGGATGCGTATTTACAAATTGCAACCGAGCTCCGCCGTGGGGTAAGGTGGGCAGGGGTTTTCGCACTACGGCTGCGGTTGAACTACCGTCTGTGGTAGAAACTTCAGGACGATGGCGCGTTTCATACGAAATCTGGCGCAATGTTTGTTTGCTTCTGAACTTGTACCATGGATGATATAACACTGGATTGGTGTCTCGTGGAAATTAGCATTGGGATCCGCGACATTGGGATCAGGCCTGCCATCTAGCGAGAGAATTATCGTAAGTTAGGAGCAAGCCGAGTGAACGCCATCTCTCAGCATTATGACACACGTGGGTGTGGTGTGTTAGTTAGATTGAGGTGCACATTCCCACGAGTTGGAGGTAATCTTACTGCACCTGAGACGACAAAAAAGGTGTTAAATGCTTGAAAGCCAGAAACGTCAAGCAGCCTTTAGGTAATAACGAAAATAAAATACGTAAGACGGTGTGCATTGAAACACCCAATCCCATCGGCTTGTACGACCTTTTATATGGTCATTTACTCGCAATGGTACAGCAGTTTGAAAATATGTCATACATACTTGGTAGGCTTATTCCTTCTTCTCCGAATTTCGCCCGATTTTCTCCATCTTAGTTAATGTTACGGCACGTGCCACGTGCCAACTTAGGGGTGTCGAAATTGTTCCACATAAAGTAACTCCGCAATGGCTGGGCCCATTACAGTAAAACTTCATCAATTGTAATTGTTAGGCATCCAGTGGCCAATGCATTTCCATGTGTCACTATGGGGGTGCTACTGCACGTGCGCACGTGCGGGGTGCCGCTTTCATATCTCAAGAACGGCTGGGCGTATAACACTCAAACTTGGTACACAAATGCCACATCGATGCTCGCACTGCATTGATCAGTGCTCACATTGGTGCAGAGTCGTTAGGAAACGATGAAATGAGATGCGTGGTGTTTATGCCTTTCTATTCCAGCAGCTGATTGATCCGCAATATAGGAGATCCCTGTGTGAAGGCTTCGTCTCCCTTTTCCACTCGTTGTTTAAAATAACATTAACAATGTACGAAGAAGATCACACATCAAAGTTGTTTTAGGCGGCTATCTTGGGCCAGGGCTGCGGAGTTGGAGTCAGAGCCATCGGTTCTGTTCCGACTCGGAGCCGGTTGATTTTTTAAAGCCGTAGTCGGAGTATGAGTCGAACGTCACCGAAAAGTCATCGACTCCACAGACTTACCAGGGCTGCAGAGTCGGAGTCAGAGTCGGAGTCTGTGTGAATCGACAGTTCTGCTCGGAGGAGTCGGAGTCGATATTTGGATACCGGAATCGGAGTTGGAGCCAAAGTCACTGAAATTTCATCGACTACGCAGCACATGGTTGGGTCCTTCTCATAGAGCGTCTTGAATGACATATTGAGCGGCAATGACGTTAGCAAATCGTTTAACTTTTTCATTGGACTTATAGATAGTACCTAACGTTCGTTTTGTTCTTTGATCGGACAATTTGTTTGATTTAGGCCAAGTAAATTGACTCATGTGAAAAATAGCGAAAACGACACGTGCTGGCGAAGTCTCCAATAACTCCCTGTTTCACGATTTAATGAGGAAATAACATGGAACTGCTTATCTTATTACTGACCCTGCACATAAATCTATTAATTTCTTCGCTTTTACTGACGTAATAAGGACAAAACCTTTTGAAAAATTGCACAACAAGCCTGCTACTACACCACACTCCCGTGTGTCACAATGCTAATCAGCGGCGTTCACTCGGCTTGCTCCTAACTTACGATAATTCTCCCGCTAGATGGCAGGCCTGAGCTCAATGTCGCCAAAAAATGCGAAGACACCAATCCATTATTATCTCATCCATGCTTGTACTGTTATTGCTGTGAATTCTTGAAGTGGGAGTGTTTCAATAACAATTTGTGGATTATTTGAGTTTCTTTATATAAACATAGAATAGTATTATGAAACATTGTGTGGAAACTGCAAATACTGATATGATTAATTACTTAGTTTGGGAATTGATACACATTTTGTAGAGATTTGTCTGGCAAATGGTGTAACAAACCTCAAGCCTATCATGATCTGAAGCTGTTGTAACAAATCAAAATTGCTTTGATGTTACGTAGTACCTTGTTGGAAAGACTGGAGCATGGTTCAAGATGATGTGTAAAAATTCAAGATTTGTGCGAAAGCTTGTGACTGAAGAACGAAAACAGTTCGATATGATGGCTCAATCAAATGTGCAAATGGATGACAAAAGTAGAGTTTCAACGTTCCAGCTTGTGAGAATAACTTCAGTGAGAAATTCATAGTTCTTGTAGTACCTATTGCATTCTTTTTATGTACAGTTATAGGTTTTGTTAGGGTATTTCAAATTCATTGTGTCAGTCATTAGCGTCGCCACGGGGGGGCAAGCGGGGCAGCTTGCCCCCCCAACCTAGGACCGGGCACCCCCTGAGATCGATACAGATCCGATGAGATTTTGGAGTCGGGGAAAAATGGGGGTACCTTTCTGAGAATGCCTGTGAGGTCAGACTCTGTTGGAGCGTGCAGTTCAAACCAAAGTCAGAGTCGCAGTCGCCAAAATCTTCAAGAATCCGACTCCAGACTCGGAAATGTCAATGCCATGATTCATGCCATGTTCCTAGTTGGTTCTTTATTACATTTTGTAGCTGATTTTCATAAGTTTTGGAGTGCTGACACATAATTTTCGTTCAAAGCGTGACACGAAATCTTCGGGGCCTTTCTCAACTCTCGTCAAATGTCTGCGACAGGCACAAGTACCGTTCAAGTGCCGCAAGGCTCATGAGCCTGCTTTTCACACAGGCTCCTAACGTGTAAGAAGCTTCCGGAGGGCCCAAACCGGCCTCTGAGAGTCCCACTGGTGTCCATGTTCTCTAGAGGGCCCATACAGGGATCTTTGCGGACATTATACATACGTAGACCTCTGAAGGGCCACACGAATCTTTGAGGATGCCTTCGAAAATTTCTGAAAACCTCAACTGGCCTATGATAGTTCAGCCGAACTTTTGAGGCGACAGACTTTACTAACCCCAACCCGGCATCTGAGGGGTCACAACTCACGTCTCCCTCTGAGGGCCGCAACACATGTTTCTTATGTCCCTACCAACGTAGGGTCCTTAAGGATTCGACACAGACCCCGACGGTTCACACTGTTATTCGAGGGCTCCAGGCTCACCCTGGGCCTAGTCTCTTAGCGCCCGCCGCCCACACTGGCTTCTGAAAGCTCGTGTGCCCTAAAGGGCTTTCCGGGCCCACCTTAGGCTCGGTAAGCCCTAAAGCACCACATACACGTAAATATTTGGGGTGACCCACGCCGATCTCCGGGATCCTAAGCAGGCTTCTGAGAGTCCACACTGACCCTGAGTGGCCTGAAATGGCCTGGAAGTCGCAATCCTATCTCTAAGGGATCGCTTGCCGCTATGCCGTGCGTAACTTTTGGTTCCGTTAAATATGTTTGGTCGCGTTTGCAGCGCTTCCCTTCACTCGAAAAACCAGAAACTTTTTGTTCACACTCGAGTGAACAAAACACTTCTTCTCACTGCAGCAAGATGAATGATGTACTTCCGATTCACACTTCCGGCATTCTCTCTCAGTCTCCGCCGAATGCCCAATTCTTAGCTACAATCGGCGGCTGGGATAAGCCCTATGCATTTCACGTAAGGGGCATTCCACGTCAAATCAAACACCGAAATCCGTCATCCCCTTCGATTTTTCTGAAAATTTGTAGACAGACTGGGCATGGTTCAAAACTGTGTTACGTATAATATTTTCAAAATTTGATAAAGTATCGTTGAGATATAGGTCATCGAATATAGCCAAAAATGCCACACATCAATTTTTTAAATGTCTATAACTCTGGTTCCTTTTCTGGTATCAAAATGATATTAACAGGGTCTTGTAGGCAATTGATAAGGCTTTGATTTTTAATTATAAAATTAAATTGAAGTGACCTTGAAATGCATTTGACCTTGAATTAAAACAGAAAAATTTAAATAGCAAAAAACACGTCACCTTCGATTCGGGTAATTTTTACATATTATGTCCGTCACAATGTTCCTAACCATCTGTGAAAAAATTGGAGTGGGCCATTCATAACTCTCGCGGCAAACGCCGTTTTCATGCATCAACATCACGCAACCACGCGTGACCTTGAAAGACAGAGTCAAGACATGCTTGCTTGTGTTCACTTTCTGAAATGAATGATTGCTGATTAGTGATATCCCAAACTCTGCGAGAATGGAAATACATAGTCATCGTAGTCAAGCATTCAAGTTCCATAGTAAAAGTGTCTCAGGCAAACGGTATTTTGCGGTGAATTTTGAGCCGTGTGGAAATGCATCATGAAGCCAAAAATTCAATG